AGTCCACAGATAGTATCTGGCTCTAGCCTTCAACTTCTTCATGTCGTCGTCAGGGGGGCACCATATGGAGGCCATGTACCACAAAGTGGAGAATACTATTGTGTTGATGATAAGGGCTAGCCCTAGAAGGCATGCCTGGGCTTTGTTGCAGGTGGCTAGCCGGGTTATTGCTCTAGCGAGTAGAGTTTCCCCCATCCCTTGCCAGGTGCCATCCCTATTTACCATAATGCCTAGATATCGGAGTGCTTGATCGCCTGTAGTCCAAGACATTGGGGTGGATGGGTCTGGGGGTTGGGGGGGGGTGCCTTCTGCAAGCCACCACGCTTCAGTTTTCAACCAATTGACCTTCATTCTGAGGCGAGTCTGAAGGCTTCCATGTTGCGCGCCAAGGCCTGGAAGGAGGAGTTGTTGGCGCGGATGAGGACCGTGCGATCATTTGCGAACATCTGTGTTGTGGGGAGAGGAAAGTCGTGGAGGGGGTTGTGGTTTTGATCAGTCAAGCGGTCTATGGATGGGTCCTTGCGCAGGAACGATGCTATGGCTTCCATTATGAATAGGAATATTGGGGGTGCAAGGGGGTCGCCTTGCCGGACCGATCTCGATATCGAGTAGGTGTGTGATAGTATTCTGTTTATCTGCACCCTGCCCGAGGCATCCCCGTAGAGTACTCTAACCCACTCTCTGAAATTTGGGCCTACTCCCATCTTCTCCATGCAGCTGTGGAGGAAGTCCCAATTGACTTGATCGTATGCCTTTTCAAAGTCGAAGAATAAGATTGCTGCTTGCATTCGTTTTTCTGCGATCTTCTTTGCAGCCTCGTCTAGAGCCATCACATTATCCAGGATATATCGACCCGGGATGAATCCTGCTTGGTCGATGTGAAAGCAGTTGTCTGTTAGTGTTATGATTCTGTTGGCTAATGCCTTTGCTAGGATTTTGTATGGTGTTATGAGAAGTGAGATTGGTCTGTAGTTCTTGAGGTCCTCCCTGTCGCCCTATGTGAAGGTGGGCCTGCAAATATACGCCTCGGCAGTGCGGGACAAAGGCTCTGCCCGCCCTAAGTGAAGGTGGGCCTGCAAATATACGCCAAGGCCTGGGTACAGGTCAGTCTGATCACGGTAAAGGGCTGTTGGAATCTATATGCGGGCCTGAATCTTTGCATGTGGCCCTTCTAGGGAGCACCCCACATCTCGGCTAAGGCCCCGTACAGACTTGTGCCCTCCCCAAGTGAAGGCGGGTCAGAATATTTACGAGAGCCTCGAGAGGCCTATTTTTGTCAATTCTGCATGCGGGGTATCAGACAGTTGCAGCGTGCCAGTTGGTTACAGGGTAACGTGAGCCTTTCCCTGGCTTCTTCCGGAAGCAGCTGCTGCGTGCGAGAGTTGAGCCCAGGGCACATTCAGTTGTGGGCCTGGTCACACGCAACCAGAGGCCGACAAGTCACTCAGAGTCCATGGACCACTGAGAATGCAGTATCGACATCACACACCCGCCACAAGCCAATGAGATTGCATTGAACACTTGTAGCCTCATGGGCTACCTGGAAGTGCCCAACTGTAAAGGGCCCAGGTCCGTAACAGCAACTGGTGGCCTCAGCGCAGACACTGAGGCTCTTCTGGAAGCTGCTGTAGTTTTCCGGTTGCAGCGTAGGGCCTATACCACAGTTGTGTGATATTGGTCTGGGCGCTCAGGCCTCTACCACAGTTGTCTGAGTTCAACAGTATAGGCCTATACCACAGTTGGCCAGCTTAACTGCTGCCGGCCCAGGCAACTGTCTGAATTGGGTCTGGATGAAGACACTTTGGCCCAACCTGAAGCTACTGGGCACGTGCACACCAGGCCCAAGCAGCCACAAGCGAGGCTGCACTTTACATATTGGAAAGTGCCCTGCCCAGCCAGGGCATTCTGGCCGTGTGCTTGCTGGCGGCAGCTCTGCTAGTTTGAGCGCTGGAGGCTGCTGGTAGGCCAGGGGCTGGAAGAGGTGCACATGCAGTGTGGTGTTGGGCGCTGCTGAGGCAGTGGGTGCTAGGAGGCCATAGCTGGGCTGCTGGGCGCAGAGAGGGTGACGACAATGGTGGTCCTTGGGTGTCGGGAATGCACACTGTTCGCAGCCCGTCAGGGTTGTGTTCCGCCCCCCCTAGACATTTCAATGTCGCTTCAAATTTCAACGTCGGTGGTCTCTCGGGAGGGTGGGCATTTTAAGGTTTGGGGCCCAGCAAGGGGCGGGACGGCGTAGGACCGCTATTGGCACGGTTGTTGAGCGGCAGGCAGGCGGCAGTGGTTGGAACGGCACCCTTGGACCTTGGAAACGATGCGCAGGAGAAAATTGGTCGAAACGTTTAGCGCAGTCGTCGGAAATTGATGAAACGGCACCCACGCTTTGCCGCCCTCGCGCAAACGGCACCCTTGGACCTTGTAAACAGTTACCTTGTTGGCGCAGGTGCTGTTGGCTGGTGCGTTGCTCATCCTATCGATTGAACTCTCTCTCTCTCTCTCTCTCTCTCTCTCTCTCTCTCTCTCTCTCT